AGCTGCCCGAGAGATGGTCATTAGTGGTCGAACAAAACGGCCAATACATAATTGATTAATTATAAGTCCTGATATAAATAAATCATCTTTGAAAATATTGAAAAAAAACGACATGACTTTCTTGCCAACCCAATAGTTTAAGCGCTAGCAGTAAATATCCCCTCCCAGTGTTATAGAATTGTAAGCACATATCCTCCAATGTTTTGTGTTAGTTGTGCAATGTCAAGTGTCATCCCGTCGGTTGTGGGTCTCAGAATCATACTCAACACTTTTGTTTCACAACGCACAACTCCTGCACTTTTGTTTTTAGCACTTATTTCTTACTTGGCCCAAAAGTATGCGTTCCTGTATTCACCTGGGCAATACATGTCCGCCTGCATGAAAATGGGACCAATTAAGCAAATGGTCTATGTCATACACAAGGTCGGAGCCGTCAGTAAGCACAACTATCCGCCAGTCCACGATGGCAACACGAGTATGCAACATAACGAAAGTGTAGCCGCATTTAGAGGCAATGACACAAGCATTATCAGTAGCACCCCCATTCGAACTGCCATGGGATCAGTTTCATTGCCGGATGAGAGGAATCAGTCCGTTACGGGATTTTCATCCACTCCGTATCGCACCATTTCCCACTTTGGCTTCAATTGCCCACTGATTACGTCGCCAACCATTCTGCTGCATCCGGAACATCGATCCATTTGGCAGACAGTGGCCGAGCAGCGCGAGAAGGTGGTGTCCTTTATCGATCTGACGACCTTGAGCATGGATAACCGCAAGCTGCTGAATGTGGTGACAGCCACACAGCCCACCCAACTTCAATCCCAATCGTTTGTCTCTGAGAAGCACATTCAGCTGGAGGTTTCGCCTCCAAAGCGGAAACAGAGGGTCTACAGTGCTACCACCAGCAGCGGATTAGATGACAGTCTAGATGAGCTGGACTCCCTGATGAGCGGCCTAGCCATCTGTACGCCACGCAGGCGGGATCAGGATAGCGGTCTGTACCGCAGCTACACCTTCTTACCCAACAATCATGCTTTCCCCGAGGATACGGATGTCAATAACAGAAGCCAGGCGGATCGGGAGCGACCTGAAGCCGAGCAGGAGGAAGGGTTCCGTTGCCCCGAAGACAGTGGAATGGGCGATTCGGCGCCCGGCAGGCGTCCACGACTGACCACCACCAGCAATGATTCGTCCACCCAAGAGGCCGAGGCCTACTCCCAGGGCAAACACGTCAAGCTGACCCTGAGCAGCACGCCCACACAATCGCCAGCTACCATAGAGATCCTGATCAACGTGTCGCTGCGCAATGCCGAGTGCGTCCAAACGGTGCAGACACACGAGCAGGAATTCCGGACCAAGCTGGAGAGGGTGATCGACGAGGAGATCCACTACATATCGCAGCACCTTGCCTATAAGCACCGTCAAGCGGAGTTGCTGCAGCAGCAGGCGACAACCCGGGCTCCTCTGGCCACGCCTTCTGCCACAACTATGCCTCCGCCGCCACCACCTTCTTCGTCGTCTCTAGTGCAGCGCAGCAATTCGGCGCCGGAACTGTGCCACACGTATAGCTATGTGGCCGTGGGAATGGCGGATATGTCGACCAAGCAGGATCAAGGCTCGCCACAATTGCCAGCGGAGGGTGAACCTCTAAATGATTTACTCAGCAGTCTGGAGAAAGAACTGGAGCGTCTACTTAACAGCGTGGTGGCAGCGCACATGCTGCACAACAGGGCCATCATACACGAGTGTCGGGCTCGCATCTCGCAGTTGGCCGAGGGATTGGCCGCCCCTTAGATACATTCCAATTTTGGATACATAATTTACATCTTCGCTATTGTCTAAATGTTTACAAACGACAACAGTGACAGGATTGTATAATACTACTTAAATAAGTTTAACTACGAAATTTGTGAATCTAAAAGTAACTTTTGCATTTTTACTTGTTTAAAATGTTTAGAAAGTAACGAAAGCACTTTATGAAAATGCAAATCTACCCATTTAAAAACTGAAACTAAACCAACCATTGTACAATTAAATCTTCTGTGAAATTGTTAAGTTTACTTTTGTCGAATCTTAATTTTTGTTTTATATTTTTATAATTTAAATATAATAAAACTTGTTTTCATTAAAAAACTGCAAGCTTTAGGTTAAGAGTTCATACGCGTTCATCATTACTTTAGATAAGTTTAATCAGTGTTCAGGTAACATATTTCATTTTTTTATTTATGTTTGTGATTTGTGCATGTCTGTTTGCTTATTAATATTGATTGCCTATGCTGCTGCATGTCCTTGTGTTTGATTTCCCAAACCCCGAACTCCATCTATGTACTAATACACCCTCAACCAACAAAGACATTTAATACATTTCATGTTTTAGTTAGATTCTGTAAAGTGCGTGTCAAAAAGGTGAAAGTACTTGCAAAATTAATATTTAATATCATGTTGTGCGTCCACTGAGTTACATTTGTAGGAAACCCAACCCATTTACGCTGCTGTATTCCGTATTAACGAATCTTTTCGCCCCTTTACAACAGGTGAAAACGTACAAAATGGCGATCATTCGGAGGCACACTTGAGCACCTTCTCCCAGAGCAGTAAAGAGGTAAGTACATCTGATCAGATCCAGGATCAGCGATCACTTCTCGAACTCACAACAAGTAGAGTGATTGTAAACGGTGAAGTTACACCAAGTGGTAGCTTTATTGTTTACAACCAGCTTTACAACATCATGCATTATGCTAACCCCATTTGAATTACTAACCGAAGCGCAACCGATATTCTCACTGCAAATTTCTATTACGGTTCCAGGATGTCTCCACGGACGGGTCACCCAAGAAAGACAAGAAGAAGAAGAAGGGCCTGCGCACACCGTCGTTTTTGAAAAAGAAGAAGGAGAAGAAGAAGGCCGAGGCCTAAGCTGAGGAGCGGGATCAGTAGGAGTAGCAATCTTGACACCCTCCCACCATCAGTGGGAACCGAGTAAACTAACGACAATGAAACCACGAAAATAAGGAAACTTTAGCCAGATCAGCAAAAGAAGCATTATATAAGAGAGAGGCCTAAATAAGCAACAAATGAGCAGCTAAAATCGATAACGATGCATCTAAGAGGATACCCCACGAAGGCATCCCCAACACCCCCAATTCGCATTCACAGCTTATATCTATTATATAATATAATTCTAATTTTTAATTTATACGATGTCCACGGCACCCAAAACAGCAAACGCAATCCACACAATTTGTATGATAACGAAATGGAGATTCGCAGATTCACACGCAATATCCGACACGCCACTTTGTTCTATACAAGTAACTTGCAAAAAATCTTCTAGATGTATTAGCTTTTAAACAAGACTACGTAAACACATTACATAGTAAAACAAATGAACAGAAGAAAAGGGTCGAAATTCCCAGGCAGCTCTGGAATAAGCAAAGATTTGTTTAAAACAAAGACAACTTTTGTCTTTAGATACATACAAGCGTGGTACATGCGTATGTACTCATAATACATAATACTTAAATGCAATATTTTTTATAAATGCAATAAAATCGATGACAACAACCACAATTTGATATTCTTTGCATGTGTGTGTGTTTTGTCAAATCGCTTTTTATGTTTTGTGTTCTTTTGTTTTGTTTTTAAATTCCGGGCAGCCACACTTTGCACACAAACGAATGAATAAATATGTATACATGCAGCAATTGTATTAGTTTTTTATATAAATAATTATATATTTTTATGTACGTAAAACTGTTTATACATACATATACATATATATATTTATAAAAACCAATAAATTATGAAGAAAACGAAAATCCAAAAACACACACCCGCATTAAATCATGCGATTATTCTGAGGAAAGCAGAAACACAATCACATAGAAGAAAGGGGAATTTCCCGTAAAATACCAACAAGTTTCGAGTTTCAGCATTTCTTTTGTAAGTAGATGTGCTTGATTTGAAATCACACTCCCAATTATATTCGAAAATATCGATAATGAGTACTGCAACTAACTAAATACGACTGCCATAGCATGTAAAACCTTAAGGCACAACTTAATCGCATTTAAAAATTTCAAATTAACTGCATTGAACTTTAAACACCCCGATCATTAAAGCCAGATAAATCGAATGTTTCTGCTTTTCCCAGCAAAACCCACCCATTCACACACAAAAACACACTCTATATACAACATAATACATGCATTGCTGAGCCTTAGACACAAAAAAACAGCAAAATAAATACTTACGATAATTATATAAAGTATAATTAAACTGATTATTTGCGCAACGACAGAAGCTTATTTCTAGCAACTTTTTTGCGTCATCAAAGCAAAAAAGTCTGTATAATTTTGTCTCTAGATTAACCTTAGAAATTTGTCAATATTCTCACTCTGTGCAAATAAAAAAACTTTTGAAGAAATCAAAACGACATGCCGGAAAATTTTTTCTTAAAGTTCGTTTAGTGTATAAGAAAATGCATACAAATATATATATTTAAAATCGTATTATACAAAAAAAAAAACACGACACACACGAAGGAGCAAACACATAATAAATAAAAACTTGAAAATTGTACAAAATTCAAAAGTATTTATAAAAATGTCTTATTTTAATTGGATTTTTTTTAATATTATTTACAAGTAATTCTTTTAATGACTTGATTAAAGGCGAAAGGAAGCTTATACGTATTTGTTCTTAAAGGAATTCTTAGACATAATTGAAAAAGTCCAAGATATTAAATTGTCTGGAGTAAAATTTAGTTATTTGAAAAAAATTACTAGATTATACGAACTCCTTTGAAATTAACGACAGATTCTTAACGGTTTTCACGAGATTTGTATAGGATCATGGGAAGCAACATGACTTGCAAAATCACGAAAACAAAAATATTTTAAAATCTTTTGAAATAAATTCAATAAAGCGGGGCCTTACTGTGTTTTACCATTGATTTTCAGCGAAGTGGCAACTCTGATCAGCTGTATTATCGTTTCTTTGTTGTGTTTATATATTGCGACTCAGGGCGAAACTGTGATAAAACCTCGAAATTGAAACGAAATTTAGTCAGTCACAAAAATTACAAGTGTCAAGATGTCTCTGGTCAGCGATGAAGAGTGGGTGGAGTACAAGGTGAGGATCCCTATATCTGTAGCCTTCAACGCAATAATACTAAAATACAATCCTTAGTCCAAGTTCGACAAGAGCTACGAGTCTGAGGAGGATCAGATGCGTCGTGAACTGTACGCAAAGTCCAAGGCCCGCATTGATGAACACAATCAGAAATTCGAGAAGGGGGAAGTGACCTGGAAAATGGGCATTAACCATTTGGCTGACCTCACTCCTGAAGAATTCGCCCAGCGCTGTGGCAAAAAGCCTCCAAATTAAGTACCAGAATCTCAGCCAAGGATAATTTTAAAGCAGTGATTTTTTAAAGACAGTAATCTCTCTGTATTTTTAGTAATTTGCATTTGTATTTTTAATGTTTTTCGTTTACCCACCCCCAAAATAAACAATAAATCAGCTGTTTTGTACATTTCAATGATTTTGGTCTTTTTGTGCTCTGGTCACTTTTTCAGGGAAAAAACAGTTCATTGAAATTTGGTTCGATGAACCGGTGTTTATTTCGTATACAAAATATGCAAATAAATAGGTGTAGCTGGTGTGGTAAAATTCCATTCAAAAAATATGTATTCACGAAATGCATTTTACGTATATAGACAATTAATGTTACTCTGGAATTTGTTGGATTTAATTTTTGCACTCGGGTGATCTAGTTCCGGTTCTTTTCACTTGGAGCGATTCAGTGAACCGAACTGCACTGCCGACGAGCGGCAGTTCACACACAACATTTGAAAGTTTGTAAACTTTTCCTTTCGATCACATAGACACATCGATACACGTAGTTATTTGTTTTTTTAAGAACACCATTACACCTTTTGTTATAAGCGCGTAAACCATTCTTTCCGGTCCAATCTCTTGCAGCAGCAGTAGCAGAACCTCGCAGCCCAGCCAACGATGTCCGGAATCATGCGTGTGCCATCGATTTTGGCCAAAAATGCAGTCGCCTCCATGGTAAGTACATTGCCCGGTTGAAAAAATGGGCTAGCACATCCTTGGCTATACCATGTAATAGTGGTTATACAACCGGGTCTATAGAGAACCCCACGGCTCGTGATGTGACAACAGAGAAAGACCAAGAAATTGGCCAAAAAATGCGCCGCCCCGTAGTTGTGTTATGTAATTTCGTCAATTTTCAGGGGCCAGGTGCTAATAATGGCCCTTTTGCCCGCTCAACTGCTGGCCATCTAGCGTATATAAGTTTATAAAATTGTGTTTTGCAATTATAGTGATTTTAAATTAAAAAGTAAGGTGTGCATCAGCGAGGTTATGTTATGCCTGCGCCCCGCCCCCCTTTAACATTTCCCTTCCAAACTACTCATATCGTGCATTTCGCTATGCGTGCAACGAATCCACTTGAAAACATTTAGTTTTGGATCGGCGACACGCCTCGAAAAGCTTTATAATCACCGCTCAATCGGGAGAATTGGCATAAAAGAGAGGCTAATTTAGTAAGACAAAAAAAAAGAGAGAGAGAGGTAGATTGGGAGGCACGTCGGTCAGCTAACAAAACTAACAGCTGATTATACAATTGAGCTGATCACGGTGCTGATCCCCCGACCCCTTCCTCAGATTATATACCCCCCGAAAATTGGGCAGTAAAATTATTTAATTTGTCATTTACATAAGCTGTTATCAGTGCAAGTCTCTCTTTCTGCCTGTATTATCTCCCCACGAGTGGTATGCTACGTCATCAGAACATCTCTATGGAGGGGGATTAGTACTCCCCTCTATCTCAATCTGTTAATCTTGTTTTTTATTTTGCTATAACTAATTGGGGAAGTGCTAGCTGCAACTACTTTTTGTGCACCTTCCAGTCTTTATTTTTCTGAATCTTCTGATAAGATAACAGTCCATAGATATTGCGGAAACATAATTACTATGGGTCTCTTACTATTTCATTAGCATTTTAGATCATTATAGACGACCTTCCAGGCTTATGAGGCTTTGGAAATCCTTTAGAATTTTACTTATATTATGTTCATAATTCCATAGAAATGTTTTTATATTGCAATTCATTTAGAGGAACGGCAACTAAGACAGTAATCTTTCAAGTTTACGTAATTTTTTTCACAAATGATTGTGAATTATGGTTGAATGACTAACACAAACAATGGATTGATGACTTTATAGAGAAGCCGAGGTTTTAAGTCAGGCATTTTTCTTCATATTGCAAACTGCAGTGAAGGGTAATAAATTAATCAACAGTTCAATATGTACATAATTGTATGATAGAATATATACTCTTTTGTATTAGTGAGGAAAAACAATTTAGAGATCAACAAGTCATGAGACCACTCTAATTGACATTTACTATATAAAATAACATTTGAATTACCTATTAGGTTTTTTATTGAATTATTTTATAATTAAATACAAGATCTACTTTATGATCACTCATTAACCCCTACTTGTCTTTTACAGCAACGTGCCACCGCGATCGGAGTGCAGCGCAGCTACCACATCACACACGGCCGCCAGCAGGCCTCGGCGGCGAATCCGGACAAGATTTCGAAGCAGTATCCGGTGGTGGACCACGCCTACGATGCGATCGTTGTGGGAGCAGGAGGAGCCGGCTTGCGGGCGGCCTTTGGCCTGGTGGCCGAGGGATTCCGCACGGCGGTGATCACCAAGTTGTTCCCCACCCGCTCGCACACAATTGCCGCCCAGGGCGGAATCAATGCGGCGCTGGGCAACATGGAGGAGGACGACTGGAAGTGGCACATGTACGACACGGTCAAGGGCTCCGATTGGCTGGGCGACCAGGATGCCATCCACTACATGACCCGCGAGGCCCCCAAGGCGGTGATTGAGCTGGAGAACTACGGCATGCCCTTCTCGCGTACCCAGGACGGAAAGATCTACCAGCGCGCCTTCGGTGGACAGAGTCTGAAGTTCGGCAAGGGTGGACAGGCCCATCGCTGCTGTGCTGTGGCGGATCGTACTGGACACTCCCTGCTGCACACACTCTACGGCCAATCCCTGAGCTACGACTGCAACTACTTTGTGGAGTACTTTGCCCTGGATCTGATCTTCGAGGATGGCGAGTGCCGCGGCGTGCTGGCCCTCAACCTGGAGGATGGCACACTGCACCGCTTCCGCGCTAAGAACACGGTCATTGCTACCGGCGGCTACGGACGCGCCTTCTTCTCCTGCACCTCGGCGCACACGTGTACTGGAGACGGTACAGCCATGGTTGCCCGTCAGGGTCTGCCCTCTCAGGATCTGGAGTTCGTGCAGTTCCACCCCACCGGAATCTACGGCGCTGGCTGCCTCATCACAGAGGGCTGCCGCGGAGAGGGTGGATACCTGATCAACGGCAATGGCGAGCGCTTTATGGAGCGTTATGCCCCGGTGGCCAAGGATCTGGCCTCCCGCGATGTCGTCTCGCGATCGATGACCATCGAGATCATGGAGGGCCGTGGCGCTGGACCCGACAAGGATCACGTGTACCTGCAGCTGCACCATCTGCCGCCCAAGCAGCTGGCTGAGCGCTTGCCCGGCATCTCCGAGACCGCCATGATCTTCGCCGGCGTGGATGTGACCCGCGAGCCCATTCCCGTCTTGCCCACAGTGCACTACAACATGGGCGGTGTGCCCACCAACTATCGTGGCCAGGTGATCACCGTCGACAAGGACGGCAAGGACGTGATTGTGCCCGGACTTTATGCCGCCGGTGAGGCTGCTTCCAGTTCGGTGCACGGTGCCAACCGTCTCGGCGCCAACTCTTTGCTGGATCTGGTTGTCTTCGGACGTGCCTGCGCCAAGACCATCGCCGAATTCAACAAGCCCGGTGCCCCAGCTCCTACCCTCAAGGACAACGCCGGCGAGGCTTCTGTCGCTAATCTGGACAAGTTGCGCCACGCCAACGGCTCGATCACCACCGCCGATCTGCGTCTGAAGATGCAGAGGACCATGCAGCACCATGCTGCTGTGTTCCGTGATGGACCCATCCTTCAGGATGGTGTGAACAAGATGAAGGAGATCTACAAGCAATTCAAGGACATCAAGGTTGTCGATAGGTGTGTAATAAATATTATACCTTTTTTTGGTTCTCGCTAACATTTCGTTCTTATTAAAGGTCGCTCATCTGGAACTCCGATCTGGTGGAGACGCTGGAGCTGCAGAACCTGCTTGCCAATGCCCAGATGACCATTGTGAGTGCTGAGGCTCGCAAGGAATCGCGAGGTGCCCATGCCCGCGAGGACTTTAAGGTCCGCGAGGATGAATATGTAAGTTTCCGATACAATCAACCTGCCAAACAGCTTGTTAATGGTCTTCATTTCTTGCAGGATTTCAGCAAGCCCCTTGACGGTCAGCAGAAGAAGCCCATGGATCAGCACTGGCGTAAGCACACGCTCTCGTGGGTGTGCAATGACAACGGTGACATTACGCTGGACTACAGAAACGTGATCGATACCACTCTGGACAACGAGGTCACCACTGTGCCGCCAGCGATCCGCTCCTATTAAGTCTAGATTTGGAGTTGCAGGACACCCGCATACATACCCCATACCATCACACAATCACATTTACGGATGTCTACTTAAACGTCTTTGTGGGCGCCAGTAAAACAATTTGTCAAGTCGCCAATGTGCTGCAAAGTGCTACCAACTGGTAACTAGGAACTGGGCAGCGGTTCCTGGCGTTTTGCGATGAAATGTAAAACCAGCTTTTCTGTACATCCTATATATTCTTTATATATCAAACTTTGCAGTTTCTATTTATTTTTGTACGCTGCCCTCCATTTGGTTACTGTTTGGTTGTCGGTTATTTACAATTCTTCATAAGCGAATAGTGTGTACGAGTAGACAACGTGTTAGGTTTGAGGCGATTTTGACGATGCAGCCTGATAACAAGCAAATGAAAAAACAAATCCAACTACAATTTTCTAGTATTTGTTAAACTTATTAAATTATTAAAACGAAAACATGTAAAAACAATAAAAACATGTAAAAACAAAAGTCGAAACCATTTGCTATACAGTAAATAAAAGTGATGAAGATTAAGTGCGCAATGAAATACATTTTTCATTTAGCCGCGGAAGACGTGAATTTTGTTTGGCTCAACATCCAGCTGTTTCAAAATATCTACTGCAGAGGTGTTGAAACCACTTGGTCCACATATGGCAACATAAGTACATCGTTCCGGCTGTTTTTTCTGGAACATTGGGGTTAAAAGCTCCAGAGATATCCTTTGAGGACTATCTTCCGATTGGGAAAGGTAGTTTGTGCAGCTGAATCTCTCGTCCTGGGAGTGTATTTCCTCCAGTTTCTCCTTTAACCAGATGTCCTCTTGGGTTTTGTTAAAGTATATTAGCTGTAAGCTTTCACTGTGGATGTGCAAGATATTTAAATAGTGTTTGCTTAAATAGCTTATCGTAAACTTACATTCGATTGGTATTTCTCTTCAGGATTGGTT